GGGGTGACACTTTGAAGATACTCTGTTCCCCAGCAATCTTTCACTCACTGATTTTAGCAACTGCTGATCCTTCTTACCTGGATCCCTTTATGAATGATTATGGTGGTTGGAAAACCTTCTCTCCCATCATCCTTCTACATTTATTAACTGGGACTCTTTAGAAATATTTCATGACAGCAAAAAGAAACACCCAGGACCACCTTCATGAGGGGGTTAGAGAGGAGAAGGTCCCTGGGGACACATAAGGGCACAGACCCCAGAGAAGTCAGCACTGGATACACACAGCTCTGCACGGGCTGCTAGGAAGATGTTTTCTCTCTGGTAGACCCGGTTCAAAGGAATTCCTCCATCCCATTGTGTGCTCTGTGGATGTCTGCCGTGTTCTTTGTTCCAGGATGATGATGGGAAACTGGCACAGGATCTAAAGGAATGGCCTTTTCGAGCTGCATACGGTAACCTCTAACTTCCTCCCTTCAGCAGAGGGAGGATCTCTGAAAACATCAGATTGAGAAGATTGGACCTGGCTGAAAAACTCAGGAGATTATTTGTAAAGTACATGTGGCTCTGAAACTATTTCTAATGGGAGAAAATCTATCGGGGGTATCCAAACTCTCTTCTTTTCTGCTGCCCAGTGGGAGAATAAGTGTTGTCTTGGCCACAGAGTAAATACACAAACACTGATGAAACTTACTTGCAAACAAAAAAAAATGGTCTGTGCATACTTTTCATGATATTCTACGCTGCAGATAAGCAAAAACAAGTTCTCACAAAATCAGCATGCAGACACAGGTTGGACACCTGTGGCTGGATCGAGCACCCTAGAATTACTCCCTTCCATTCTTTATCTCACATGGCTTCAGTTCAAAAAAGGAAATAGTATTTCTTTCCACTCCTTTATAACTATGTAACTTTAGAAACTTAGGTTGTCTGGGGATCGATCACCTTAATGCCTCGGTGACACCAAACCCAGTGCTTCCAAGATTCAGCCCCTACCACTGATTTGCATTCTACCAAAAAATGTTGGCCCATAGAGTCAAAATAATATTTTAGTTTGATTCAAAAATCATGGTGTAATCCATAAACACCCTGCCAAGGGTGTCACTCTCCAATACCATTTTGAAGTGCTTAACCTTATACCTTCTGAGGTGTCACAGAGAAAGCCAAAATCCATGGTTAAAAAAATCTCTGCTGTCCTCTCCATCTACTCACACCCAGAACAGGGCAGCCATGGAAACTGATCAGCACGAGAACATATGGATACTCAGAAATAGTCAGTGATCTTGAGTGTGGGTGATTAGAGGAAAGGTGCAGCTATCTAAGGCGGCAAGGGAAAGCAGGTTTAATCTGGCCAGATAGACAGGAGTTTGGACTTAGAGACTGAGGTTTGCCCATCAAAAAATGCTCGGTGTCTGGATTCAGAATCCAGAACAGGTATCGATTTGAGTCAGCAGGAGGGACCACAGTTGAAAACGTATCAGCAGCAGCAAAGCCACTTACTCACTCACACTCCTTTCAGGTACTTCTGCCTTGGAAATGACTTTATCTTCTAATTTCCTCCCCCTGTGAATACTCTCATCTTCCTAATAAGTTCTGCAGGATCAAGAATCAAGAGTTGCACACCTTCTCCTAGGTTATCGGGGTCATAGGACATGCTCGATACAATTGGGACTTTACCAATGCCTAACACCCTTGCTTAATGAAGACTACCTTCTATGGGTACCCTGGAGCATCATTCATAATACCTCTTGGAGGTCAATACCAAAGGATGTCTGTATACTAAAATCGTGCAGCTATTACAAATCTACCAAGTTCAAGGCACCGTGCAAAGATATACCTTTTGGGAGACACACAAGGTCCTCACTCCGTTAGATCTTGCAGTATTTAACTTTTCCTATGCAGAGTCAAAGGTAAATTTGTGCTTTGTGTCATTTGGGGGCATCTCAAGGTATTTGCATATAAAAGTATTTGTAGTTCATAGTTTCCTTTCAACTCTGGCCAATAGGCTAAACTACTTACATCAAAGTAGCAATGATATGGTTTCAGGATAATGGCTACTTCTTTTATATCTGTAGAGAAAATGGCATGTTCTTAAAGTTCTTTATCATTAACTTTATTCATAGGCTGACGGTACTGGTAACAAGTTTAATAAATCTTCTGTGCAACAAGAGCTCTGAGGTGAAGTCCTGCTGGCTGTCCCAGGAATCCTCATCACTTCGTCCCTCTTTTTAAATTTACCTGCACCATTTCCCATGCCTGAAGCTCTCCTGGTTCCCCTCCCTGTGACCCCTCATCCAAATTATCCAAATTCTTCCTTCTCCTTCAAGGATGAACAGACATCTCCAACTTCATCTAGTCTGTCTCTGAATTGTGATGTCTATACTGCCGCGGTTCTCGACCTGTGGCTTGTAACCCAGAGGAACTGTATATTAAAGGCTTACAGCATTAGGAAGGTTGAGAATCACCGCTATCCTGTCTAACCTCCAACCATACATATACGTATGTACATAAATCTCTAACATATATATAGATATATACACAGGGTGTCCTGAAAGTCACCATGCACAGGGAAAATAGGGGATTGTCACTAAATGTATCTTTATTTATAAAATAGTTATTACAAACTTTTACCAAAAGGTGGCCAACACGGAGACATTTTGTAACCATTTTGTAAATAAAGGTACATTCAGCTACTATTTCCCATTTTCCCTGTGTAGAGAATATTTTATAACTGTTTTGTAAATAAAGGTACATTTAGCTATAAATCCTCTTTTTCCCCCTGTATGGGTACTTTGGGGATACCCTATATATAATCTCCAATTGGCTGGAAATATATGTACATCTCTGACTAACTTAATATTTGGGTTTTAGTTTTCTCATGTTTTTTAGTAACTACTTTATGTAAGTTCTTTTGTTTAGTTTTTCCTCTACTAAAATATATCAGCAAGCTCCTTCAGGGCAATCCCCACCTGTGATGTGAAGTCCACGTGTGTTCACTAGCACCAATCTATGCAATTTCATGCAGCCAGAAGGCAGACAATATTTGCAAATGATTGAAATACAGCTTGCTATTTGTTGAGTTTCCTAGAATACTTTACACACCTGGTCATGGATAAATGCATCTACAGGATAATACTGCATGCTAGACCAACATAAATCTGTTGTACCCATAACCTAGCCCTTCAGAGACAGTCCTATTTGGATGAATAAGGGGGAAGTAAAGCTTTTTGCATATTGATATAACCGTTATGGATACTGTACTGCTGTCCTTTATAATTTAAGGCAACATCCCTAACAAAAATTAGGGAAAAGATCAGGGAGTCATAAATTTAATGCAAAGACATCGAAGCTCATAATATTTTGTCCTTCATTTGCTGACCCACAATAATCAGACCTGGGTCTTTTGTCCCTAGCAGGGGTGATAAGTTCACACAGAGTGGCAGTTTCTCCCCAGGCAATAAAACCAACCACTTCTGGCTCATTAGGATCACTTTTTAACAAGATAAGGGGACCCCACCACCTAACCACCTCAGGATTCAAAGTTTCAAACAGCCTGGGAAATACAGAGTTTATAAAGGAGTAATAAAAATGATCAGAAACAAACAGACCGAAAGAAACAAAACAGCATCGTCCAAATCAGACTTCATTGAAGAGCGGTGTGGAAGGGGTGACGGAACATGATGTGGGCAAGACAGGACAGGAAGGGAACTTATCCCAAAAACAAGCCACAAGGAACGGCCTTTGTGGGCAAAGAGCAAGATGGTGTCACCGGAAGACACACCAGCATCTCTGATTTTTATGCTGAACAGAATCCCAGAATCCCTAGAACAGTGATTTTCAACTGGTGTCCTGTGAGAGGATCTTATGTGTCCTGCAAAAATTTTTAAAGACCATTGATTAAATTATTTTCTGAAGAAGTTCAAAGCACAATAAGTATATTCTTTCTTTTTTTTTTACTTTCTTTAAAAATCAACATAATTTAAGTGTAGCACAGAAGTTTAACTACAGGTTCAAGTGTGTCATGATCAAAAAGGTTGAAAGACACTGCTCTAGAAGTTCACACACAGAGAGACACACATACACAGCCACTGTGCATGAGCACTAGGTCAAAGCACCAGGTCCAGTGGCACCCTTAGCACAGTGATTACAGCACCAGCCATATACACCAAGCAAGGCTGGTGAATTAGAGCCCAGGCCGGGCCAGCTAAACAACACTGACAACGGCAACCAAAAATTAGCTGGGCATTTGGCGGGCGCCTGTAGTCGCAGCTACTTGGGAGGCTGAGGCAAGAGAATCACTTAAGCCCAAGAGTTTGAGGTTGCTGTGATCTGTGATACCACAGCTCTCTACCCAGGGCGACATAGTGAGACTCTGTTTCAAAAATAAATAAGTAACAAACCACAGGGTCCAAGATGAACTTGGACCAAGGGGTCCCATCACCCTGAAATGAAACCAGGAGCTGCTTTTTCCAATGTAAGACTGCTGTTAAAAGGAAGTTTGACGTTTTTAAACAGTCTTAACAACAACTGCTTTAAACTCGGAAGACACTTAGTGTGGCAGGAAGGAAGCGGGAGGGAGTTCGGGAGGGAAGCTTAATGAACCGGGCTCTTTGAGGCTTCCTTTGAAATCATCTGGCATCATTCTTACCTTTCTCCTGCAAAATAAAGCCTCAAAGTCGGGGAAGGCACAGGTGGAAGAGACAACAAATTGCGCCTGTTGAGAAACAGAGGTGGATCTGCTAAGCGCAGACGCATTTAGAAGGAATGTAAGTTTTGTTTCCCGGCCACCAAAAATAGTTGGATGGATTTGTGCCAAAATGAGAAATAAAAGCGGGTTCTTTCCTCCCTGCACCCTGCGGAGTTGCCTTTGAAGTCACATGTGCTCCCCAGGGCACAGACAGAAACAAAACTCAAGGTCTTTTAAAATTTTATTGTGCATGTTTTGGTATGAGGCAGTGTCCTTCAAACATTTACATAAAGTCATTTTATTTTCAGCTGCTTCTTTAGATAGGCTGAACTTTTATGCCCTGGAATTTAAATCCATGCATCCCTCTGGTTATACCTTCTGGTCCCAGAGACAGCCTTGGGGACTTGGCCCGGTTGCCTGGATCTGGTTCAGTGCTGCCTGGATGGACAGGATGGAGACTGACCCTCCTCAGCCACCTGGCAAATGCTGGCTGGCACCGCAGCCTTCTGGACTCCCCCATCCAGCTCCCTGGGAGGCCTCAGGCCCTCCTCAGCTCACCATTCTGCCTGCCTGGGCCTACGGGATGAAGTGCAGCTGTCTCTCCTTTATGCCTGCTACCCCACATAGAAGGCAAGAAAAATATCACACATGGAATAGTAGTAATTGTGCTGCTGGTATATTTCAGAATGAATCCATCCTCAAAATCAGGCATTTCTTGGTAAGCCTCATTACAACCATAAGCATAGAAATATTTATATTGTGTGCTTTGTTTTGTTTTCTACCTGGATATTAAGCTTAGGGGATGGATATCCCCTAAGCCAGTATCCCTTAACTAGAAGCTAAAAGATTAGAGAGAGAAACATAAGCATTTCATATTCTGAAATGCATTAATTCACTCACTGTTGGTTTCAAGTCCCTTTATTTATTTATTTATTTATTTTTTTTTTTTTGAGACAGAGCCTCAAGCTGTCCCCCTGGGCAGAGTGCCGTGGCATTACAGCTCCTCCAACTCCTGGGCTCTAGCGAGTCTCCTGCCTCCGCCTCCCAAGTAGCTGGGACCACAGGCGCCCGCCACAACGTCCAGCCATTTTTTTGGTTGCAGCCATCATTGTTGTTTGGAGGGACCAGGCTAGGGATTCGAACCTGCCACCTTAGGTGTACGTGGCTGGCGCCTTACCCGGTTGAGCTATAGGCGCCGAGCCAAGTTCCTATATTTTAAAAGGACTTGTTCTGTAAAATTTAGCCACATTCAAGGATCCAGAAAGCCACACGTGGCCCCAAGGCTGCAGATTCCCCACTGCTACAAGAAAAATCAAAATAGTAAACTTTCAGTTAAGAGATGTAATCACACAGTATCGGCTTCCCTTTCTCCAGAAGGGAAGCTACAACTGAAAGGAATTGTAAAGACAAACTAATCCAATTTCTTGAAGAGGAGGAAACTGCTGGCTGCCTGAAAGTTAGTGCCTCAGACTGATTATCAAAGAGACACAAAAGCCAGTTAGAAGGAACTGCAACTCACCAAAGAGGGCACAATATTAATATCAAAAACAATGACTCCAACTGATTCAAACACATCAAGTCTATAAACCCATGGGTCTGTAATGAGTTGGTAAGACGTTCCTTCCACTCCCTTCCCTCCCCGCAAAAACGTAAGTTGCTAGAGCCATAATTTGTTGCTCAGAAAATAGATAAATATTATAAAAGACTGAAAAATGTATGCAGCTTTTTCCTTTCAAATAATTATTTCAGGATAACTAAATAACTGATGATGGAAAAGGCATCCATATTAAAGAATCCCAACTAATCAATGCAAGAAAAATGGTAGACTTCGATAATGTCCATTTTGTGACATCAATAGTTGCAAAATTCATGAAGTGAACGGCCGGTGAGGAACTCAACAGAGCATGGACCAAGCATACCGCTAAATCTTCCAATCAATCTTAACCTTACCAAAACTGGGAGAAGCACAGGCTCTGTCTCTCCCAAAGAGATGTGCTGTGATGTACAGAACACCACCTAGGAAGGGTTCTTGCCAGGAAAAAACGAAAAACTGAGCCAGAAAATAATCAGCCTCCTGATCCGTTTACAGGGACTGCAGGGAAAGAGGAATAAGTGAAATGATACCACGAGGAAGCAACTGACCAAACCAGCATCCTCTACGGCAAATAAACTGGTTTCTCCAACAAATAAAGGGAATAAAAAAGAAGGATGTGCCAGAGGCCTGCTACAGACTTAGACGCACTTACGAGACAAAGCTGTCAATTCTATACGTGTGTACTTTGGCCCCTAAATTGACCAACTATTAAAATAAACAAAGAAAGAAAAAACCTCCACAACTGCAAGGGAGAAGCAATAAAATGTGAATAGAGACTGTGCTAAAGAAAATTAAGGAATGAGTATTAACTAAGTAGCAGTATTTAGTCGTAGTTATATGTACACGCACTTATTTATTAGGAATGCATGCCTAACTATTTTGCTGTGAATTTTTTTTTTTTTTAGTTCATAGTCTTGGGATTTTTTATTTCAATAGATTTAGTGGATAAAAGTCTTATTGGGTTTTTTTGTTTGTTTGTTGTTGTTGTTATATGGATCAACTATATAATGCTGAAGTCAGGGCTGCTGTGTACTCATCCCCAGAATGATGTATGATGCACCCGACAGATAATTTTTAGCCCCTGCCCCCTCTAGCCTCCTTCTTCGTTCCAATGTCCATCACACCAGTTTATGATGATACATACCCATTGTTCAGTTCCCACTTACAAGTGAGAACGTGTGATACTTGTTTTTCCAACCAGAACTTTTGTTTTCCAAGGGAAGTGAATGACTCAGGACTAGAACCTGCTCTTACGATACCAAGCACACTTTTCATTATAACCAAATTGAAAGGAAACACGAATAATGAACTTTTTTTTTAAGTTCTTCACAACAGGAACCCCCCCACTTGGGTTCTCTCTTTCCATTTACTTTCTCTTGAAATAAAATACCAAACTAGAAACCTGCGCTCTGTTAAATGATCCTTCAAAAGTGAAGGGGAAATCATCACTTTCTCAGAGAAAGAAAAGCTGAGGGAATTTGCTGTCTTACACACCTGCCTTGCAAGAAACGTTAAAAGAAGTTCTTTAGAGGAAGAAAAGGATGAAGGTCAGAAACTGGGGTCTACATAAAAAACATGTATCAAGAAAGGAGTAAGTAAAATAAAAACATCTATTTTTTGTATTTTAATTGATCTAACAAATAGCATTTTGTCCAAAATAATAACAGAAACAATATATCCAATTATGTATGCTATCTATCTAAGTATGTTTTCATATGTGTGTGTTTATATGTACATACCCACTGAAACATGCTTATATAAAAGTGAAATAAATGACACCAGGGATGAGAGAGAGGAACTAGAGCTATTTTGTTATTATAAGGTACCCACACTACCCACAAGGTAGCACAGTGTGATTTAAAAGAGAACTTAGGGCTCAGCGCCTGTGGCTCAAGCAGCTAAGGCGCCAGCCACATACACCTAAGGTGG